AGGCAGTTGAGCAGCAGTGGTCACTTATATAACATGGGTGGATATTTGTGCTCCTCTCCCCTGAGATGTTCTAGGACGGTCTTGGGGCGACAGGAGATGAGGGTAGCATGACAGTAGGTGAAAAGACTTGCAAGGAGAAAAAGACCTGGAGGGGCCAGGTAACTGAACCTGTGCCTCAGAATGATGGGGAGCCTCCCAAAAGCCTGGGATCGCCTCAGAGCTGGGCACTTCCCAACTCATCCCAATGGATTCTGACGTGAGTTCTGGCGCACAAGCATACCTAGTGAGGCAGGAAGCTTTGCCTTGTTGGACTTTCTGGAGCTAAATTTTCTTGACCCTTTCTGTAACCCCTCACACCTCCGTTTATCCCTAGAGAGCCCAGCCCTATATCTTGCTCTGGATTGAGGGGTTACCTAGGTTGAGGGGAGAGGCTTCAGTATTTAATTGAGTCTATATTAACGGGGTAGGGAACGGACAGAACTAGAAGGAATCCTCAGAGCTACCCTGTGCTGAAAACAAAGTTGTAGAAGTTTCCATTATCTTTGTCCTTTTCATCCTTTATCCTTCTCAGATGGATTTCATTAAAAGGTCAACCTGAGATACCTATGTCTGGAGAGGGTTTTCACCTGAACCACTTCAGATTTGACAATGTCCTTCAGCAGATGCCAGGGGACACTGGCTGCTTTTAGTTTGAGAAAACATCTCAGTTTGTTTCTCTTGTGTTTAAAAAAAAATGTTTTTTAAGCCTTGTTCTTTTTAATTCACAAGGAAATTGGCCACTGGGCTGCTGTCCTTTAAAAATATGCCTTTGAAGACTTCCAGGCAATTCATTCTAAGGATTAAGACACCCTTAGATCTGCTCTAACAATACATTTTGTAAATCCTTATCTGCAGCTATTTCACCAGAAGAAACAGTGATTTGAAGGTTTGTCACAAAGCAGCCAGTCAGATTGCACTATAAAAAAAACCAAGTTTCCTAGTTTATGCTGTAGATAACCTCATCTTCCTAGACTTCTCCAGTTGTAGTTTGGCTTTTAAATAGTTTCTCTTTTCCTTTTTTTTTTCACATCCAGGCCTTCTGAGCCTCTCTGGATTACATCTTTCACTCTTCCTCCTACCTTGAATATACACTTCAGCTTCCTTCTTTCTACCTGAATCTACCCTAGCCCATCCTAGTTCTGGTAAAAGTAGCTACCTCTGAGAATTGCCCCGTGAATTAAACTAGTTTCCCATACTGGTGAAACTAGAAAATCAGAGCCAAGTTCAGGGTCCTTAATGATCCATGCTATGAAGTGAGAGAAAAATGGAATTATCCTTGGATCTGTCAACTGAAAGACAGGGAGAGGTAGTCATCTGCCAGCCCCAGCACGGAGAGCTTTAAGTGGCAGCAAAACCTCTAGGTGCACTTGCCTCTTCTCCATGGACAGGGAGAAGTAATGTAGAGGTTGAGGAGAAAAAAGAGAATTTTACTGAGAAGGACTTTATTTTCATCTTCTCCAACTCTACCTTGCATGGAGGTCTCAGAGGTAAAAGGCAGCAGCTAAGGCAGGAATCAAAGTAATCCCAACACCTGACAACTGGCCCCAGGTTTAGAGAGTTGCCAGAGCTTTCAGGAAGGGAGCTGGGGAGCATGATATGGCCACAGGAGTTCTAACTTACACCAGGTTCTGTATCCGGCACATTGCCCTGCTGAGCCTGTACTTCCACATCTATAGTTAAGGGGCTTGCATGACCATAACAAAGAGTTCTTCCAGCCTGGGGACTGTTTCAGGACTTGCAGAAGGAAGAAGAATCAAAATTTAGCCTTTGTACTATCAGCTCAGCTTTCAGAAGATTTTGTCTTAAGTTGACTTGATCTTTTCAGCCTTTTTTTTTTTTTTTTTTTGGTGATGGTCTACTTGCTAGTTCCAGTGTAGTAAAAGAGAACCATTCCAGGCATGGTAAATAGTTACTAAGTAAAGTCAGAGTACAAATCTCTTATCTGGCATGTCTGAGCTGTACAACCTTGGTTATGTCACAAACCTTCTTTCCAACATCATAAAATGGAGGTATCTTTTGGGGCAGTGAACTTTAAAACCATGTAAAATCTCCAGTACAGAACCACACTGAGTTACTCAATTCACTGTGGCCATTATAATTTTCTTTAGTTTTCAGATATTGGTCTGATTCTGGGGCCATCACAAGGCCAGGGTAAAATGGGAAAGAACTTGATCGAATCTTGTAACACCAACTTGATCTTTCAAAATCACTGCTTCGGCTTAGCAAATCTCCAATTTTATTTCACTGGGCTCATCCCAGGTCAAAACTAACCCCATTGGCCGCCACCATGCCAGGAGCCTGGAATTCATTTGAAACAGAACATGAAAGGCCAGGGTGTTCTGTTCACAGCTGGACCCATACAGAGTGGCCCCCAGTTGGGCACACTGTCTTTCAGCAGGCTGATTTCCCAGAATTTGTGTGTACTTGGTGTATAATTTGATCTAAGTTCCTTCCATTAGAGATTCTATCTTGTCAGAGAAACTTTCCCCACTACTGCACTGGAAACCTGCTCTCCCTCCTCTGACAGTATCACACTACTTATCATTGACACCCACAGGATACTGATTTAAGATTCATCTTTTCATGGTCTGGGGTTGATTCTTTAACTCAATTTCCACAAGAAACTTCCAGATCCCTTTAAACAACGACCAAGATAGAATGAGTGTTGGACAATTTACAAAGTACCCTCAGACCACTTAGCTGTGGTCCCTCTGACCTATCATTTTGGCTTACACATAATACTCATGTATTGGTCAGTGATGCTAATAAAAAATAGCAGCTAAAATGAATGATCTTAGATATATTTTCTTTTTCTCTCTTTTTCATTTCCTCTTTGATAGAAACTATGAAATAAGCAAATTCATAGTAGAGAGAAGAGAGGCACACTTAGTATGTGCTCAGTGACATTGCCAGCAGCAATCATACATCATGGAAGGGTCTTCAGAGATGGTGGTTCTTTTTCTGTGTATGTGTTTGTTTTTTAAAGGGAGGGAAAATGAAATGTTCGATTAGCCTTTCATCATTTTTCAAACTTGTTCTGATGAGTTCATGAGCAAAGACAAAGATTAGTGAAAGTGGATGAAGGAACTTTCATATCCAGATTCATCCTTTGTGCTTAGATATGGAATATGGAATAAAGCTCTTATAAGCTTTGCTTTCTCTTAACCTCTAAGGACCGGCTTCACAGAATGCTTAATGATAAAAATAATGCATAACATTTACCTGCATTGTCAATAATGAAAACCAGAACCTCAAAAACAGACAAGATTTGTGAGCAAGGAGGGCTATGCTTAAAGTTTAAATATCATGACTGTATTCTTTCACCCCCTGCTCACAAATCCTCGACCTTTGACTTATCCCCCAATGTCCTTAAATGTTTCTGAGGCTGCCTGCCTTTCTGTAGCATCTCTGGTATTCACTCAAGGTGAATGAGTTCAACTGAATATGTGACAAACTTAAAAAAAATCCTCAAGACTCAAGACTGTGGCCAAGTGGCTAGCATAGAAACATATATATTGCTAAGGAGTAAGGACTACCAGATAGACTGTGTGTGCCTCTCCATTGCAGGAATTGCATGTAGTAGGCCAAACCTAACCCCAGGATGAATATTCTAGTCGTAAGCCTGACATCTCACCTTGTTATTTACTTGGGAGATGTCTCTTTAACAGCCAACCAGTCCGTTTGGTGCGTTTGCCAAGTGGGAGGGGTATGTCTTCTATCAGTCCAGCTCCCAGATTAATTGTTTTATCTCTACTCCTTTCTTCTCCAATCTGCCTGAGCTGCCAGTTTCTTCTTTGCCTGGCTGACCTGCTTGAGCTCACATTCTTCTCTCTTTCCCCAGGAAACCTTCTCATGGCTGCAGAGCTGCCCCTAAAGCAAAACTAGAGGCAAAGCAACCCAACAGTCCCTTCCCCTCCCAGCCTAGCCTGGCCCAGATCACCCAGTTCCGAATGATGGTGTCTCTGGGACATTTAGCCAAAGGAGCCAGTCTCGACGATCTGATCGACAGCTGCATTCAGTCTTTCGGTGAGTTGGCTAGCTACCCACATATATAAAAATTGCTGTATTACTTGTTCTTCTTTAGAGAGTGCTTTATAGATTAGCAACTTAAATTGTATTTTGACTTTAAAAATAGCGTTTGAGCCTTTGAAATTTTGGAGACAGTGTGCCGTGCCTGTGGCACATGACTATGTGGGTGTACTAGGTCGTGAGGAGAGGTGCGATTTAAAATGAGAAAAGTTTAACTGTGGAGAGTTTGCATTTCATTTTTCTGAGGACAGCGGTGCTTCTGGTGATGAAAATATAGCATGATATGCTCTTGTGCATCTGGTGCGCTGACATTTTTCTGTCCTGGTGTTCATGGGACACATCAAGACAATGTTACATGAGCAAACGTTATCATACAGAAATTTGAAAGCCTTTGAATCATTTGGACAAAAGAGTTAATAAATTCCCCTGCCAATCCAGAGGGTAATTGAGGTGGAATAGGAAGGCACCCAAGAAAGCCAGAGTGTCTGTGGCTGGGAGATACTGGTTATTAAGCCTGGAGATTGAGGGCTAGGGATCTGGAAGATAAATGCAGACCCAGATCTACGGTGATTTATCTAGATCTGTGTGTTCTCGTTTCCTGTCCCAGTAGTGAAGGATGTGCATCTTAGTGTAACTGACAAGCAACAGTCTGCAAAGATGACCTGGTGTTTGTTTTTCGCAAGCAACTGTCTCTTGTGATTGTTATTTGTGAAGTAGTGATTGAAATGTACTGAATAGTTGCTCTCTTCCAAAAACAGAGAGATGAAAATTGATGGGAAATGTGTAGATTTCCAGCTCTGATGTCTGGGGAGTGGAGGGTGGCCTGATCCAATCACAGGCAGTACTGCATGCAGATGTATCAGAACTCAGAACTAGGGATTATCAGCTGGTATGTCAGGATAAGAACTTAGTCAGACCTTGTAGAACTGGCAGACTTGGCAATTAAGGAATACTCGTTTAGTTCAATTTCGTATGACATTGAAAAGAATAACTTCAGTGATTTCAACATTGGTTTAAACACTGGTTCTCAAATGTCACCTGGCTTTTTCTTCTTTTTTTAATAACGCGGATTCTAGCGCCCCACTCCCAAAGTTTCAGTAGGTCTGAGGTGGGGCCCAGGAATGTATGTTTGCAACAAGTTCCCAGGTGATGCTGATGCAGTTGATCTGAAAACCCCGTTGAGAATCTCTGCTTTACTGTGTGTTGTAGACTTTTTAACTTGGAAACAAAGAAGTATTTTTATTAATCATCTAGGATTAAATTTTAATATGCTAATCTTTCAGTTCAGAAAGTATCTGGCGGCAGAATGAATGGTTTGCTATTTGAAAGTGATTTCACTCAGAAAACATGCATGTGAGGGTATCGTAGCAGACAGGGAGGTGAGCAGGAGCCGGCTGCCCGGAGCCCTCGTTCGTCACGGACTTTGCTTTTGCTGGTTCCCACCTGGAATGAACTGCAGTGTTTCTTGTAGTCCCGGTGGTCATATTCGCTGGTCTCTAGTGGGACACTGTGGTTATTGACTAAGAGTGCGTGTTCTCTTTCCATCTGAGTGTTGAGTGAACAGGGGACTGGCAGTGTATTTGTCCAGTACCTCCTGCTGCTACTTGTCCTGCTGCTGCCGGCTGAGCTCGGGCTGTTTGCCTGACCGTCAAATAATCATGACATCAGCCTGAAAAATACATGGCTGATTCTCATGTTCTTGCCCCAGAAAACCTAATCTACCAACAGCCTAGTCTACACTTCTCCGTAAATCCTACAAGGACTGAACGTTTTCAAGAATATGTTGAACCAGAAAAAAAAAAAAAAAGCCACAATCTTAAACTCCAAAAGCTATAAAATTCCCATTGAGTCTAATAATCTTTTATCCATTGTCAAGAAGCATCGACCCATATTTGTATCTGATCCCATGCTGGGAAGTATGCAAGGAGAATTGGAGGGATTGAACCCCTTTTCTGTTTGTTACTAGAGTTTGGAATATCTGAGAAGTATGTTGTTGGGAGAAAAATATACACAAAACAGTAATAAACTAAGGTGTGCAGGAGGAAGAACTTCTTTATACCATGTAGCATTTAAGTTCACTTCAGGGGTGAGGGCATAGATCGGGGGAAAGAGATAGTGCCACTGATTATTCAAACCTTTCTTGGACCACAGGAGTGCAGGAAGGTAAGCTTGCACATTTCTTTGTTTCCTGACTACAGTTTCCTGCCTCAGGTTTTTGTGAAAAAAGCAAAGAGAGAGGCAAAAGTCTGGAGGGAATAGGAGGCAGCACCTGCTTCTGTGATTTTTGACGGCGCTCCTGCCTCTCGTCATCAGCCCACGCAGCTAAGGGGGAGGGGGAGATTGAGTACAGAAGTGAGTGGAGCTCCGGTTGTTGGGCTTAGACAAAACCCAAGATCACATGTGTGCCTGTTTCTGTAGGTGTTCAGAGGTGACCTGAGAATAGTACAGTGAGGCGAAGATTTCTCTTGAATTCTGCCTTTCTAGTTATTGTCTCAGGCTTGCACAGAAAAGTTTTACTTTGCAGTAAAGCAGTGTAGCTTAGCAAAAAGTATAGGAGTGTGGGGAAATTTTTTTTAAGGGGGTAATTTATCAATTCAGAGCCTGGTTTCAGCTACTCTTCTTGCCACTGTGGGATTAAAAAAGAAGGAAAAGAATTTCTTTGGCACATGAAGACTAGTTAATTTCTACTATTTTCTCAGCCTCATACTCACACTGCTGCTTTGAAGACATTTGAGTTAGAACTGTGCCGTCCAGTGTGGCAGCTGGCAGCCACGTGTGGCTCTTTACATATATATTTCAATTGATTAAAATTAAATCAGATGTGGAGTTTAGCTCCTAAGGTTCATTAGCCATATTTCAGGTTCTCAGTAGCCACAAGGGGTAACCTAGGCATCGAAAAAAGTTGGCTAGCACAGGACAGGACTAATGCTTGCCTTGCAGGGCATGCGCAGCAGGCAGATCTGCTGGAGACAGGATTTTACGTTTTCATGGCAGTTCTAAGTAATAGTCTGAACGCTCTCGAAGGCGTCACAGGCATTTGGCAGGTTTTCCCGAGGGCTCTCTCACTTTAAGATTATTAACCTTTAATTACCACCCACACTGTTCTCAGAGCACAGACTTATTACAATACTTGTAAGGATAGGTGACCGGCACATACAAATTAAGGTTACTCTGAAAGGCCCCTAGCAACCCTCCCAATGTCACAACCAAGGTTACATATCTACGATTAGCAACTCAGATCCTTGAGTCATAGTTCATAGCTTTACCCATGAAACAACTCACTCCCACCTTCTGTTTTAATCGGGGGGTCATGCTTTACATTCCCAGCATATTACTGCTAGTTAATCCACTCTTCAGCTGAGCATAACGAGGCAAATCACCACAACCTGGTACACTTATGTCAAATGTATGTGAATCATACCATCTGTTTCAGAGGCACAAAAGACCTATGAGATCATCTGGGCTTTTTAAAATATTTTCACTTTGTAAGAAAGCTGCTAGTATTGGGGGCCAAATGGAAGGGTTCAGGTGTCCAAATTCACAAAGCTCCTCATTTGTCTTCTTCTGACATCCTCAGAGAGAAAATTGGAAGTATTTTCCAGAAAGGGACCTTCAGCAAGTAGCTCTTCTGGTGCCTCGTGGGGTGCAGGAAGAAACTTAGTGTTGTCATGTCATTGTGAAGAGAAACACATCTTACCTGGTATCTTATATTTATAGACTTTTTTCCCTAGGAGTTCCATATGCATTATAATTATTTTTTTTAATCAAAACTCTGAAGTGGGCAGGTCGGGTATTGTTGTCTCCTGGATAACTGAAAAATAAAATGAAACAATCTCTGAAAATTGAGATTCTCAATTCCCCCAGTTGGAAAGGAAACATGAAGAGTGTTCTGTACTACAATTTAGAAGCATGTCCTCCTTCCTGCTCTCGGCAGCTGTCTGCGGCCTGAGCTGCAATAGGTCCGGGACAAGCTTGCCTTTGGTCAGATGAGATTGCAAGGCCTCACCATTCTGCAGGCATGACCTCTCCTAGCATAGATTCAACTCCATTCAGTGCAAGACGTGTTTATTGCACACATCACTTGTATAACAGGTGTGTCTGCTTGAATTCCTCTCTGAACAAAGTGTTAATTAAAATTACCCTGTATATTATATTGATGCCATTCAAAGACCTCTCAAACCAGAAATACCCTAGAACAACAGTTTTAGTTCCCACATTATGAAACAGTTGGATATTAAAAGCATTTTATATACCTCAAGTAATTAAGGATAAAACAGTATACCTCCTTAAAAAGCTATAGTCAGGGCCCTCCCTGGTGGCACAACAGGTTAGAGCAAAGTGCTAGTAGGCTGTCCACAACCACTGCAACATGAATTCAATTCCCAGCCCCAGGGTCCCAGGGTGGATGTGGGGGTGGGGGGAGGGAGGTGACCCACATGGCAGGGCAGACCTCTCCTGACCCACACACTGCTCCCCTCAGCAGTGTATTTCAATACATCTGTCTGTTTTGCTCCCCACTCTCTGGTGAATCTTCTCACACCCGCACCTCTGCCTGAAACCCCAGTTCTTATGTGTATAAATAAATAAATCTTTAAAAAATAATTAGAGCCAAAGTAGGCAAAAACACACCTATTCGGATTGCAGTTCTCTCCATGGCAAAGGAAAGGTTAGGTCCTCCTCACCTCTCTGCAACTGAAAGCCTGAGCAGCACAGCACAGTGACCAGAGAGACAAAGGAGCCACAGGCCATGGCTCAGGGTGCTCAGGCCTGAGACCAGACAAGGAACAAAGCCCCGAGCAGCATCAGTAAGGAGCCCAAGCCACCTGGGCCACTGTTGATCACGTGGGCCTCAAGAAGGAGACCATGGCTGCCCCACGGTGGAACCCCAGCCACAGACAGACCACAAAATTTCACATGTAAGGGATGGTCCTAGGGGACCTATGTCCTAACTCTTCTAGACATAAGAGCAGTTCCCGGACATGGCTGTTGCTACCCTC